CCGAGCCCGGGCCGCCCCCTCCTCCCCGGCCCCCGCGCCGCCGCCGCCGCCGGCCGCTGGCGACCCCCGGGAGGGTGGAGGCGCCCGGGGCGAGGCCCGCGCGGCGAGTTTGGCGGCGCCGCCAGGCAGGGCCGGCCGGGGCGCGGGCCGAGGGCGGGAGGGCGGCCGGGGTCCCAGCTCAGAGACAAAGGCGGCGGCCGGCTGTGGGGGGAGTGTGGGGGGGTCCGCGGTGCCGAGCACCCCCGCCCCCGCCGCTCCCGGCCCCCAACTTTGCCCCACCCCGAGAGGCGCCGTGGCCCGGGGCTGAGCCGCCGCGCGGGGCGCGCACCCGGACCGGAGCAGTCGCCGCGGGTGCAGCCGCTGCTGCTGCCGCGGCCGCCACCGCTGGCCGGGCGGCCGGGCGGCCGGGCGAGCGCCTTCCGCGCCGGGGCTCGACTTGCCGGGGACGCGGGAGCCCGATCGGAGCCCCAGGGTCCCGGAAGGGGCGAGGCGGCCGCGCGATCCTCTACCTGCGCGCTCTCTGCCCTGCCCCACTGGCAGCGCCGCGAGCGCCCAGAGGGGGCTCTGCCCTGGACACTAGGGGCTCCCGGGGGCTCCGGGCTGCGCCGCTGGCCAGGGCCAGACCTCGCCTGGCCGGCCTTCCTCCGCCAGCTGAGCTCAGAGACATCCGAGGATGCCTTTTTTCTTTTTCTTTTCTTTCTTCTTTTTTTTGCTCTCGCGAATCTGGGATGGTTTACGTTCGGTTCCCCACTCTCACCCCTCGCCCGGCTCCACTCAATGCAAAAACCGTGTTCCTGAATTTTACATTATGCATTTTAATGTACATCTTTTTGCATATCTATTGGAGAGTAGATCTAAGTGTATTTCATGCAGTGTATATAATTGTGTATGGACTCAGTACTCGGAGGGTTCTTGTATAACTTGAATTAAAATATGTATATATATCACTTTACGAATGAAGCTGTTGCTTAGAATCTGACTTTTGTCCAATGTTGTGCTATTCTTTCGACTGTGGCAAATTCTTTGATTACAAGCGCTTTCAAAAGGCACCCAGTCTTAACTTTTCCCCCTTGTTGCTTTCACGTAGGGTAAATATGACAATTTTTATTGGTCTCAATTATTGAAACTTGATCTAAGCACTGTATGGACGGAGCATGCTGATTGCCTTTTTCTGGCCTCCAGTTCTAGTGACTTTTAAAAGGCAGTTTGTTAAGTACCTTTGAAGAATATGACAGACGGTGATCGCTTGGCTGTAATGCAAATTATAGAACATAAATTCACTTTGGAATTTAAAAAAGACTCGAGCCCTTTCAGTGGGGACAATTGAGGATTTATTATGTTTTTTAAAAAATTACTTTTTTTCTCCCTACTTTGGGAGAATAGCTAGTTGCAGACCAACTTATTTGGAGGTCCTCCGAAAGAGGCTTGGGCAATGGGCGAGGGGAGAAGATTGATCACAATCTGCATAATCAATAGGGCAGCGTGCTGCAATCGTGTACCTACATTTACTGTAAATTTCTACCCTATCTGCAGCGTGGGTGCTCCAGCGTCTTGCTTGGTTTCTTAGGGAGGATTTAGAGGCAGAACAACCAGAATTTACTGCCCAGCCCTCCGGAACAGTATAGGGAAGTCCACTCCACAGTGCCTCATTCTAAAACTCCCATTTTGCTGAAGTTTTTTTTTTTTCAAATCTGTTTACTTGTGGGGGTTTCAGGAACTGAACCCTCAAAGGGTGGATATCCTGTGGGTTCAGGGAAGTGGGGGGTATTCAGGAGACCTAGGGGGTGGGAGTTTGCTTATTGAATGAGCACTTTGGGGGCCCTCTTCTCATCTTACAATGTTAGGTTTTTTTTTTTTTTTTTTTTTATTTTTTTTTTTTTTAATTGGAGCAGGTAAATTAGAGATAGGAAAATAAAAGAATATACTAGAGATTGAAGCAGTGTCAAAATATGAGTTGCTGTGTTTGTATGAGAGGAGAAAGAATACAGACCCAGTCTTGAAAGCTTGGTGGTAGGTGAATCCATATTTGGAGATGATTTTGAAATAGTCTAGCAAATGGTGCACGAAGAGGATTTCGTAAAAAGTGTACACGGAGTCAGTTTTGAAAGGATTGCGGTTTGGGAAGATGAGGTGTGGGCAGGAAAACCCACTCTAGGCCAGCAGCCTTCCTCTGTCTGTGTGTCTCCCTTCCCCCTCCTTGGATTTTAGTTTTTAATTACTTAATGCTGAAACGCACAGGGCTTATATAAATATTTGCAAATGCTCTTTCCTATTGATTTCTCTGAATAAACTGCCCTGCTCCGGTCCAGAGAGGAGGCGATTCAGATCTGTGGACTTTTTAAACATATAAAGCCTCTGGAGGAGTGGTGTTCTCTGCGTGCGTGTGTGTGTGTGTGTGTGTGTGTGTGTGTGTGTGTGTGTAGAGTTGTAGGTATGAGGATTTTGGGGGCCCGCAAGGAGAGTTCAGGCTCTCCAGTGGTGTGACCCAAGGAAACTGGGGTGGAGCTGGTCCCTTGGCCTGGCAGTCCTGACGTGTGTGTGTGTGTGTGTGTGTGTGTGTGTGTGTGTGTATTTGTGCGTGTGCGTGCGTGTGTACGCCTGCACCGTGTGTCTTCACTGGGGGAATCTGGATGCATATGCACGTACTTCCCCCACCCCTGTTAAATATGGAGCAGCTTTCCAGGGCTCTGTGACTGCCTTCTCCTCAGGGTCACATTGAGTTTGAATCTGACCCAAGGTGCAGGAATCCTGCAATGGGGAAATAAAAGAATATACAGAACGGGGTCAGGTCAGCTGCTCAGAGGCCAAAACCCCTACAGCTGCTTTGATTTTATTTTTTGGTGTATATTTTAGGCTCCTCCTGCCATTCTACAAATTGTGCCTCCCCCTTTCAGGTGTTTGGTCTGTGGCTTAAAGGCAGCAGAGCCTCTGCCTGCATAGACATAGGCTCCCAGCAACAACAGAAAACCCACAATACCGAATCCAAAACAAAACTTGGGAGGAGGGGGAGAAAAAACCCCTATTGAGTTCAGGCAAATAAGGTTGGGTCTCTAGATCCGGTTACAAAGCAGCTTTGAATATGCAAGACAGTGCACAAGACCAGTTATTCCAGTTACAACAAACTATTAAAAAAAAAGAGAGAGAGAGAGAAAAGAAAAGGCATGTTTAGGTCGTAATTTGTTAGTACAAGGAAAAGAATCCCACATAAAGCTGCCTTTTTTTTTTTTTCTCCCTTTGCTGGCTTCACACAGAATTCACTCACCCCTTTGCAATTCATCTGCTGTATAGGTTCTTTTATTAAAATCTTTTGGGGTTTAGGACGATGGCTGCAAGCAACACATTTTCTGTATTTTTTTCCCCTTTATCTTAGAGAGAGAGTTGGCAGGGTTTCTGTGGTTTGCAGTTACACAATATGTTATCATGTTTTTAATCACTAAATCATTGCAGTGGTTATAGATTTACAGTGTTGGGGTATTACAGAGAGGAGCAACGGCGGCTATATATATGCTTTTAAATTACACCAATGTAAACTGAGTGCGGCAGCTGTGAATATGGTCGGCAGACGTCTATCCCCTCCCCACCCCCCCAAGATCTTTCTCCCTCTGTGATTTTTCTCTCAAATTTCTTGGTTTGCTTAAAATAAGCTACCCCTCTCCTCCCCTGTATTGTCTCTTCGCCCCCTCTTCCAAAAAAATTAATTTTCATTTTAGACCTCTAACCCCAGAGAAGCTAGAATTCAAACTCTTGAGCTATAACTTCGGATGAGAGTATAATAACAACAATAATGAAAAGTGTGGATTTCCTAAGAAAAAATCCTCCTGGTCTCCACACCGACCTCCTGTATCGGGATGGAGGGTTGATTGCACGTCAGAAAGTAGGGGGGCGGGTGTGGGGGAGGGGAGCCGGGCTGGTGGCGCTCGCCTGCCTGGAACCTCGAATGTCCTGTCCCCTGCGAGCCCACTTTCAGCTTCTGTTTTTCATATTATTATGTAACAGAATCCTTGGCAGCATTAAAAATTCAGTATTACAAGCTGATTGTAATGCTGCCTCATTAGACAACACTGTCTGGCCTTGTATTAAGTGAAACGTGGAGCATGGCTTTTAGATTATAAACACCAATAAATATTAAGGATCAGCAGAGGGGGCAGTAGCAACTGGGTTTTTGGCTCCTTCTGGCTTTATCCCTCCTCCCCCCCAGCCCCCCAGATCATCTTCCCTTCAGTCCCTTTCCTCCCCCCTCCCCCCATGGTAACTGTCATGCGTTTTCTTG